CAAAAAAAAAAAAAAAAAAAGAAAAGAAAGAAATAGAATCTTTCCAATTAGTTCAACGTTTTTCTGTATATAAAAAAAGATAACCTTTCAAACTTAAACTTTAAGGCATGTATACTATGATAAAATCATGCAGTTTTTTTAATCAGTGTATTCACAGTTTAAATGAGATCAAATATATTAGAACACAAAAGACACTAGACATTCATGGGCACCTGGCTCTTTCAGTTAATATGCTGTTCACAAATGATTTTCTACATGTTTTTCTCATCTTTCTGCAAAAGTAACATTCATACATGATGCAGGTTCCTGGCACAATACAAACACAGGAACTGGGAAACCAGGGTCGACAACAGAACTTCTAACATCCTTAAGGATCACCCAAGTGCACAATTTCTATAGGTAAAATATGCACTTCCTCTGTGACTCCCTGAGAATTCTGTCTGCTGTCAACAGTGATTCTGGTTTAAATGAAGCAGAGCAAAATGAAACTGAAGGAGAGTTGTTACCACTGATTCTAACGTGAACTATTCTAAAATTAGTTGCAAAATATTTTAATAACATTAGAAAGAAATTTTTCCTCATGCATTATTAATTTTGCTTCTAAGGGATTTTTCCATTCCTTCAAAGACCCAGCTTTTGAGAAGCCAGCAGGAAATGGTGAGATGTAGATACACCTCCAACCATTACTGGATGCTTCAAGAACAAGCATTTATACATAAGGCTCTGCAACACATTATATATCAAGAATACTACACAAATTCATTAACACAAGAGGAGTTCTGTGAGTGTTTGTTTTTTTTTAAAAAAATAGCAAGTCGTTCATTTATTCAGGAAGCATTTATCAATATCCTACATTGAGGCAAGTAATTCTGGGTTCAGGGCACACAAACAGAAGACATTTAGCTCCACCCTCAAGAAACTTGCCATCTACCGGGTGAGACACACATGTCACAGGAACAGTAAGGCAGGAAGTGCTCTCAGCGGCATGGGAAGCCAGGAAGATGCATCCATCATGGTCAGAGGAAGCCAGGCATGGCTCCCAGGACAGACGATGGCTTCACAGGTAGGGAAGAGGTAGTAAGAGGTGGCAGGGCTTATGAATGACTAGGCAGAGGGAAACAGATGCAGCATAAGGTGAAAAGGAGTGGATATTCAAAGAACCACAAGTAATTTAGAAGTGAATGGTACAGTGATTGTGTGGGGCAGCGGTGAGAGGTGAGTATACTGTGTAAGTGGGCTAGGACAGGCTCTCCAAGACCTTACAACAGGAATTTTGCTTTTTTGTAAATTGCACAGTCTGTTTTTCTCCATGTTTTGATCAAATGATTAGTTACCTCTTCCCTGGTCCACCTAGTTTTCCCCAAGTGACGCTTTCCAGACTTGGGAAGTAGCCCATCATAGTCATGGTCACACATCTCAATGTCTTCATCATCCTCGTCACTACTGTATATGCTGTGGAAATAAGAATGGACAGACACGGGTTGAAAAAAGAGGATTTAAACTATTGGATTACAGAGTCCCACCAAAACTCTTCAACAGGTTTTTCAAAGGCTATGAAGACAAAACTTTGGAAACTTGCACAACAAGATTGTTTTCTGCATTCTGTTGCTGTAGTATTGTAAACTGGTTCTGCTGTTATTGGTATCCACAGATACAGCAAAGGATCTGGCAGTTTCCTGTGGTGCTGCATGTTTAAACCTGCTGTTACTATTAGGCCAGTGACAAGTTACACATGTGGCAACCTTCCAACCAATCAGGGTTTAAGTTTAAAACTTAATGTTAAGGACAAGAAAAAGAACAAGTACCCACGTCCTTTGTATAAGTGCACACTCAAAATCTCTGGCATATGTCACATTGTTTAAATAATATTTCCCAAACACAATAAACAAATCAATAAGTTATTCCAATGGGGTTGGTGCTCTATTGAAATTCTTAAAATTTGAGAAATAATACATCCAATACTATAGTGACAGTCATCCTTTAAAGATTTGAAGATTAGGAGAATCTAAGAGACAGGTATTTTAAAACCTGACAAAAGATAAGACCTCCAGTAACCCAAGTGTTTTGCAATTAACATGAATATCAAATTCTTCAAAACTCCAGGCCTGAGTGACCCAACTTGGGGCCCTGTTTATAACACTCAGTTTCCAGAGTACTTAAGTGAATAATTATGGCACTTAATAGAATCCTATTTACTCTTGTTTTTTCTGTCTCTGACTGAATGGTGTTTAGTATCTTAAAATGTACCTAATTCAAAACCTAGGGATTCCCCCCCCAAAGAAATCCACAGATTAAATAAAAAGCAACAACAACAAAAAACCCATCACTGTTTTCTTTTTTCTTTTTGAGACAGGGTCTCACTACATAATTGAGACTGACCTGGAACTCACTATGTAGTCCAGATAGGTCTTGAACTCACAGAGATCCTTCTGCCTCAGCCTCCTGTGTGCTGGGATTACAGGCATGCACCACCATGCCTGGCCCCATCACTATTTTCAAAAAAGCTTTTTCTTTTACCAGTTAAATGAAACTATGCATTTTGATGACTTTTAAAGCAACTCTACAGCCATGGATGTGGTTCAGTGGAACCATGCCTGCCTGGCAAGCACAAGGTCCCGAGTTTGATCCCCAGTACTGAAAAAAAAAAATTGATAAATAAAAATAAAGTAGGGCTGGGAATTTAGTTCAGTGGTTCAGGTACCTGCCTTGCAAGCACAAGGACCTGAGTTTAATCCCTGGTACCAAAAAAAAAAAAAAAAAGTAACTCTATGCTTAAAGTTTATTAATCATATACTGAATATGTGAGAGTAATTTCCATTTATTTTTAGTTATAATTTTCCTTGAAAAACAAAATATAAAAAATTAGGATATATTAGAAACAGCTAAAATTTATCATTTTAATATTAATAAACCCATGAAACTAAGGTCAATTAAAAATAATAGCATAATCCAAGAATGGTGCCACATGCCTATAATCCTACCACTCTGGGAGGCTGAGGCAGAAGGTCTGCAAGTTCAAGAACAACCTGGACAGGGTTAGGGATTTAGCTCAGTGGTTCTGTCGCCTTCCTCACAAGCACAAGGAGTTAAATCCCTGGTACGAGAAAAAAAAAAAGAAGAAAGAAAGAAAGAAAGAAAGAAAGAAAGAAAGAAAGAAAGAAAGAAAGAAAGAAAGAAAGAAAGAAAGAAAGAAAGAAAGAAAGAAAGAAAGGAAGGAAGGAAGGAAGGAAGGAAGGAAGGAAGGAAGGAAGGAAGGAAGGAAGGAAGGAAGAAAGAACAGCCTGGGCAACTTAACAGGCCCTGTCTCAAAATTTAAATAAATCAATATATCTAGCAATATAGTGCAGTGTGAAAGCCCTGAGAACAACCCCCAGTGTAAATAAATATAGTAAATGTTAATGGCATAAGCCAGTATCATGATGCAAACGATTATTTTTAAAGAGGAAATTTATATTTATAGTAAGTACTGTCTTCTCGAACTAATCCACCAGAGTATGTTACAAACCACCTACAAATCAAACAAAAGTGCTTACAAGAGTCCTGAACTGGAGTTCTTAAAATTTAAAACCATTATTTTGAGCAACCATCTGATGGTCCAGGATGCACAGTGACTGTTTATGATCTGCACTTAAAACGCTACCATCAAAAACAACAGCCAATAAAACCCCTACTAAATGGCATTCATTAATCATTTTGCATTCCGTTGTCTATCCTTTGAAACATGCGCCTATAGGTGCATCATACTATACACAAGAGGCAGTAAAGAACTTATCAATAACAACTACAATACTTTCCCTTTGATGTAAATGTAAACAATATAATAAAATAACAACAAAAAGCTACTATAAGCCAAGTGCTGTAAACACATCTTTTGACAAGTGGACAGAAAACTCCTTAGAAGTCGCCAAATGAAGTAGCCTCTTAGGAAGTATCAGGGATTCCAAGAAAAATCGAAGGAATCTCAAATTGACTTTTTAGGTTTGGCTAGATCCGGAGATCGCATTTCCAGAACTGTGGGCGACATTTTCCAAATTAGTAATCGGGCACCTCCCTCCTAGTAACAGCTTAACCTAGGAACAGCGACACAAGCAGCCGCCCACAGGGGGCAGCCAACATCAGGTGAGAAAGAATAGGAGGAACCGGCCAGGACCAGGGTTCTGGAGGCAAAGGTGCCAGAGCTCGTCCTGCCTACACCTGACTGCGTGACTCGTGACTCGGACAATCACTTCCTCTGTTTAGGGACCTTGGGTACCTCACTTATGCACAGGGGCTTGGATTCTATTTTTAAGGTACTTTCCAGCGCGCGCAAATGATGCTCCCGTGTCTTTCGTACCTCTTCAAAATTGAGCAAGAGGCACAAATGTGCAAAACCAAGGTTTTGGCGAAAACGTGGCGCAAGACTTCTGCATGTCCTGAAGGGACAGGGAGGGCAGCAGAGTGAGTCCAGGGCTGCTCTCTACCAGCCGGGCTGGCACGGGGCTCCCCTTTGAGTCGTGCACGCGACTGCCATGCTCTACAGCGTTCTGGTCGCCTGAGTAGCATGATTAATTTCTACTGCGGACCTGAAATAACTTTTCCTTTATCTGCACTGACAAGATCTCAGACCCAACAGTCAAAGGACTTTCAAAGGCTGATTTCAGCCTTGGTGCTCTCGACTCCTCCACCTGCTAGACCCGGTGTGGTTACAAGACTACAACTATGAATATTACCTTCTGTCAAGGAAACAAACCGTGCAAAGAAACGATTAAAAAAAAAAAAAGTGCTGGGGTGGGGGGGATTGGAAAGAGGAGAGCGGGAGGAAGTGCCTTGCGGCCGCTACTATGATTCTAGAAAAGGGGTTCAGACTCATTTCGCTGACCTGGTTAATAATCCCTGCCGAGTTGACGCTTGCCCAGCAAGAAACGGCTCGGAGCCCGCAACCGGGTTTCTCTTCCTCCAGAGCCAGGTTCAAGGCTCCCGCCCCTCCCCACCGTCTCCCCTCCCGGATACCTGGGAGCGGCCGGGAACCTGCGCGGCCCCG